TTGTTATTTTTACATTTATAAATATATTTGATTAATTATAATCCATGTTTTTGTGATATCTTCTTTGTTTGCATGTTTTTTATAAAAAATATTGGCCAAATTTGACAAATTTTTATCGTCTGACTAGCAGACCCAGTGAATATTTTAGTAGTTAAACAAAAAATTAAATCAAAATAAATAAATAAATTATAATTAAATTAAATTACAAATTACACATAAAAATTTATCGTACGACAATGATTATATTCAACAGCCATCTTGAACCCTGCCTTGCGTATCTGTGGATGAAAGTAAAGATACTACAAAATGGGGGTTGATGGTAGAAGGGTGAAAATTTAGGGTTATATGTATTTTTTGAAGCCAAATCTTAAAAAAAATAAAAATAGCAAATTTTGTCCGAAAAATAAAAAAAAAAATTTTGGGTGGGCCACCCTTTTCACCTAGGGGTATAAAAAATAGTTTGCGCCCTATTCTCAGACCTACCGAATATAGACAGAAAATTTCATAAAAATCAGTCAAACCGTCTCGGAAGAGTTTGGTTACACACACTATGACACGAGAATTTTATATATTAGAAAACAATGAATTTACGATGTTTTTCTTTCCTTTTCCGGCAAACCCAGATGTTGTATCGCAACCAGAAAAACAATACAGAAATGCAACGATATTTTTGAAGGATTCATATTTGAAACTATTGGACGTGAAAAATAAATCTTCTACATTTCCAGAACCTGGTTTGAGAAAATAATAAATGTCATAATTATTTGAATTCAATTGATTCAAAAAGACCAAAATATCTTGACCCACAACTATGACAGTTTTATTAGTATCACTGGCAGTTTCTATAGAGATCTTAATTATGTCAGCATCAGCATCTTCTTCTGCTTGTTTACAGGAAAATTCTTGTGACTGTAGATTTCAAAACTTTCTTTTAAATAAATCAATTCGTCACGATTCTCTTCAAGTAACTCAGCCTGCACGTATATTTTAATAGAGGATGTTGTTCAATCTTCTGATGGGCTAAAATTTTCAGTAGGCCATCCAGGTATGTAAGTTATCTTAAAATAGCAATAAATAGGCACATATGCATGTAATTTAAAAATTATCCTACAACTTTAACAAAATATTGTAGATGTCTTATAAAGTATTAAGTGTATTAACTTATTTGGTTGTTAATTATAGTAGTATTTTTCAATTTGCAATTTTTTAATTTATCAATGTAACATGAAATAGCACGTTTTTCGAGTAATTAACGTGTACATTTTAATAAATAGCTCCAAATTTTACATGATAATTAGAAAACAAATTTTTGAATTCGAGTTTTTTCGTTTTTTTGCATTTCCTGTGAAAATTTGCCATAGTAATGTATAATTTTTTTTACACCTTCAGAAACTAGAGATTTCAGCGAACAAAAAGCACACCGATTTTTTTTTAAAAGCAAATATTTTGACGAGAGAATTTTCAATTGAAAATTAGGGTGGTTTTTCGATATTAAATCAAAATAAGGGAAAAAAAATATTTTGAATCAAAAAAGTTACAGTGAGTTTGGGACATAAATAGGTAAGTTTTCACCAAATTTAGTGAAAAAAAAAATTTTTGTGGGAGATAAAAATAAAAAACCAAAAACTCGGTTATTTGCATTTTTCGGATAAATTTTGAGGAAAGAAAGTGTAAATACAAAAGTTGTAGATCTTTTTATTACCTACAACTTTGCCATTTAACTTTTCGCCGGAAATCGTGATAAACCGTTTTCTACTCGTAAAAGCTCACCCTCTTCCCCTTCCGGACCTCAGATCGCCCGTAAATTATTTTTCCCTTTATTCTTGTTATATTTTCTTTTTTCCAGTGGGTATCATCCTGTTCTAATTTTTTTTCACTTTTTACAATTTTCAAAGGCTTGGGCACTGGCCTCTATAACATGTCCAGCTGATTTCAAAAAAACGGGACAAGATGAGCAATTCAGGTTCTCATAGATCGAAAAGCAATGGGAATATGACGTTTATATAACTGTAATTTGTCCCTTTTATTTTAAATCAACTGAACATGTCATATGTAGGGGAAAAGGAGGCAGGGTGGATAGCTTTTTGGAAAATATTATGCATAATTCCTGTTTCTGCGTTAGTTATTATCAATATTACCCTAAACGTTTCCGTTATTATGCATAATAAATGAAAATTTCAGTTATTACGCATAATTCCTAATGTTTCCGGTTATTATGCATAATAACGGATTTCGGATGTTAGCTGTAACATATATACCGAGTGACTCTGAAATAAGTTCGAAAAATAAAGCCACAACATCACGAAGTAGAGAAAATTTTAAGAATTTCTTTTATCTAATCCTAATTCAGGCGACAAAATATCAAGATCTACACCTCATTCAGTGCCATTTGTTTTCATCTAAGCAATACCCAGCAAAAACAACGAAAAAATTTAGTCACAATGGAAACTGAATAAATCATTGCCGCATCATTGACATTTAACTAGATGTTCCGTATTTGTTTCTTGAAACTGGAGCAGCAGTTTAATTAGTTTGAATTCGTGTGACAATTAAAGGATTTTTTTCCGAATCTATTTGGAAGTCACCGCGTATGTATAACATACAGGGTGCTTTACTATAAGACTTTTCTGCAACCCACTATGTATGTAACGTGTTAAGCGAAATGTGTCATGTTTAGTAGGTTCCTAAAAAGTGTTATAGTATTACAGGCATCTACCTGTATTTAATATCCAATATTATGTTATATGTAAGTACATATAAATTTATTGTATTTTTTTAACTTACAAAGAAACCTGCTTGTTGTAGTAGGCAAAGATAATCTTCTAATTTCTGAAAATTTATTTAGCTGTGGTCTTGGCGGCACATCTTCTATTACTGTTTTCTTTTTGATTTGTCACATTTGATAACGTTTTCATGTTGGAGATTTGTTCACTCGTTTCCTTTAGAATTTCTTTTGTTTCGCACATATTTTTTGTATTTGTTTCAAGTCTAGAGTAAAATAACATAATTTATTTAGCACCTAGTTCATAAAAAATTGCACTAACATACCTTTGCAACATTTTATGGCAAAGCGCCTCACTTTCAAAAACAATCACCGTAAGTTCTTCAAAATCAGCGGGAGTATCTTCAGTGTTTAATGGTGGTATTTCCAGCTTATCTGAAAAAACTGTTTTTGTTATTTACGTACAGTTATCAAAAACAACAGGAGCACGTAAAAATTAAAATGATTACTTCATTAAAATTATATTAATTTACCTAGTGCGAGTACAACCCACACTGAATGGCAGAAATTTTCACAAAACTGCATTAAAAATGAAGTAAGTTATGGATCCACGAGAAAGGTTCGGTGGTGTTGAACCAAATGGCTAAATGGAATTCGAAAGTTTCACTGTGAGTGTGAAGTGCAATAAACATAAATACTGAAAAAAGGGATCGTCCGACTGCACCCCCCAAACATCTGGTGGATAGTAAATGCAGAAGTTGAGCGTTATTTTTTCATTAGATGAAATAAATTTAATAAAATTAAAAATTAACCACTCTCTAATTTTTTTGGTACCCATCATCGCTTTATAAACGTCTTTATAAAATCAAAATTCAACGAACGGACTCTTTAAAACCTTGTCTCGTTTCAGGGACAATAGACAAAGCATTTTTATGACTTTGTTTGTGTCGTTGGGTCTTCCCTATATTTTACGCTCAAACCTAGATGTTTTATTTATAATTTGCCAAACAGGTACTTACAAAATAACAATTCAAGAGTGAACAAGTTTAGAGAAATAATTATTAGAAATTATTAGAATGAAAAAACTTGTCTTTGGTGTATTTCTAATAAAAGCGTTGTATTTTTCGCTCTGAATATAATTATTAATTAAGCATTACGAACTCACTGACGAAGGCCACTTTTTAAAAGATACGACGACCCACATCTAATTGACCATATAATCTTTAACAATAAATTTTAAATAATATCATAGTGATTTTTTTAAATTTGGATAAGGTGTTGTAAAACTATATGTGAATCGCCACATCTGATATGTTCCTGTTTCTGTCTTCATTCCAGACACTGTATTTACGTGGGCAAAGGATGGCGTACGTGGGATTTTAGGGGCGGTAACAAACACCGGCGTAAATATTGTAAATACAGTGGTGTCGAACGAAGACAAAAACAGAAAGATACCCGATGTATTCGCATTATACATACAATCTATTACCGACATTAAAAAAAGTCTACACTATTTTGTCATATGTGCTGCTTTATTATCAGTTTTCAGTTAGCTACATATTGGATATGAAATGAAGTGAATTTTTTGAGAAAATAATAATTTTCTTTTCTACAGTAACTTTCAGAACTCCGTTCGCCTAAGCCATAAACCGTCCCAAACTATGTCAAAGCATTTCAGCGCAGTTTACTCGATTTCCAACTAAATAAACCAGAAATTTAATAGCGATAATAATTCGTCTTTTAAAAGTCACGACAATTTCTTCTGATGTGAACTACTCGTTTTTTTATTCTTTTTATATAGAAACTACACCTTCGCACAAACTTAGGTAGTTGACAACTGATTTAAAAAACTGTTTGTTTTACAAACGAGATTTTAATTAAAGTTTGTTCCAGTTGGCATACAAAGCATAAACCTACCTTTTGAAAGTTTAATTAAAAATTATCCATCCATAATCAGGTGCTCTGCATGTACTCCATTAATATTAATTTAATATCGCATTAGTATGCAACACGTTACTCCCACTGGTGACACCAAAAGTAAATTAATAAAAAACGTCAACTACGCTAGTATCTTGTGTCTATCGAACAGTGTACTATTTGAGAATATTTTTCAATTTAACAGGCAATTTTTAAGTTGTTAATTAATAACTAACTTCCCAGTCTTTCAGCACCATAAGCTTTCCAAATTCCTACTCCAATCTCGCATTTTATGCAAGCCAGCGAAAACTCCACTTTTTCTAAATATTTACGGCTCATTTACCATTCCGTTTTGTTCCAGGTTTCTTGATCGAAACGCTTTCATCTACGGCTTATTGGTTCCCTCGGCGATCTTAATATCGGTCACATTGTATTATTTGGTGAGATCGGCTTTAGTGGCACGCTACGTCATCAATATGCAAGTGGATCGCAAGATACGTGATAAAATGCGGCGTAAGAGGATGCTGCATATTGCTCTTTTTGCGAAGGTGAGGAACAATAGAGATTGATGTAATAAATATGCAAAGGGTGTGATGTATGGCCTGGAAGGTGAAATGAGATTGCCGAAACAAAAAGGCGGGCGTCTTAATAAAATTTAAAATGCTTTTAGTGCACGAGCAAGGATTTTTTGTGCACGGAAAATAATTAAATAGGTTCATAGTTTTGCTCAAATTGGTGAAATGGACTTTCAAATTTATAAAAGTATTTTAGATTATTTAGAAATCGCCTCAAACTTATGTAATGTAATTAACACTTCTGCCGCTATAAACTTTAATAATTTGCTCCGAATTCTGTAAAGGAAACGGAGGTAACTAATTTTCGTTTCTCTACACAGATTTATAATCCTTTTAAATCCGTAGCGTCTTGATTATGGGATGCGGTCGTTAGCCCTTACAAGTCCGGTTAATATTTCTACTTGTAGCATTAATTTCGTTATTTCTGGTTTAATTACACTAATAAGTCGATTCTCTTTATCCCGTGGATACCGACCAATTTGGTCGATGAGATCCTTTGGTAGCACGTTCACCCCTATTATTGACGTATCAACAGTATAAACAGGCGTTTTTGGCTCGTGGCTTGATTACCAACACGAAGTGCGAAAACACAAAATAACATGCTTAGGGCTAAAAATGTTGTTTGTGACTGTGATATACACAAAATTTTATACATGACGCCAGTGGACAGACTTAAAATGTTTACAAAATTTTCTTCTGAATTTCTGCATCTGATCTTGCATAATCAAAATTTTTGGCCTTTTTTATTTTATTTATTTTTTTTTCAAAAACAAAACATCTTTTTTTTTCAAAAAATAGAACATTACAAACCACAAGATTCTTCCATTTTTTTAAAATAAAAACACAAGAGACCCTGATAATTTTTTTTAGGTAAAAAAAAACACTAGAGTACAATTTTTTTGCAAATTAGAATCACGGACCCCATTATCGCTTCAAATTTCTATTTTTTTTTTTTAATAATACAGTAGGGAATATTTTTTCATTTAAGTTCAAAATAATAATAGCATAGATCACCAAAATGTTTTCAAAAGATCATAGCCCCCATCTCTCTTCCAAATTTTTGGTAAAATGGCCACATCATTGCATTAAATTCTTTCAAAAAAGTAGAACAATAGAAACCTCAAATCTCATCTTTTTTTTTTTAAATAAAAACACCAGCGTCTCTCAAGTTCAAAAAAATATTTTTTCAAAAAATAGAGCACAAAATTGTTTCATATATTTTCTAAGTAGAAAGAGCAAAGGTTCCTCTGATTCTTTCAAATCTTTTCAAAATAATGCGGGCAGAGGTCCCCAATTTTTTTGTTAATTTTTCACAAACAAAACCACAAAATTCCTTCAAATTATTTCGGGAACAAAACATTGGAGCCCCAAGAGTACTCTAAATTGGTTATAATAATAACACAAAACACCACTGGTCCCCAAAATTTTTGTAATCTCTTAAAAAAAACACCATGGACCCTATCAATTATTTTTTTCTTTGTAATGGAACATCAGGAACCCAAGATTTTTTTATATTCTTAAAAAAATGCACTATAGCTACCAATGTTCTGCACAATTTTCTCAAAAACTAAGCACCATGGGCCCCATAATTTTTTTAATTTTATAAACACCTACTCGTATATTTTTTTAATATACACAATACACACCAGAAGTTATTGTAACCTCTTTCAAAAACAAAACATCATGGGTCCTATTTTTTATTTCTTACTATGTTTTTTAATAATACACTAGGGTTCTAATATTTTTTCATATATTTTCAAAATAGTGAAATTTTTACCCAAAACGTCCAGATTTTTGGAAAAAATTCAAAATTATAAAACAACATTTTGCAATTTAATTTTGATTCTACCAAACTGAATGCTTTGAAACCTTGCAGATATTTTAAATTTATGATAAACATAATAAATTTTTTATCAAAATATATTTGCTCATCCCTCCCTAAAAAATTGATGATGTCACCTCAAAATATTGCTGAATATATCCTGGCTAAAATGTACAAAGTATAACGAGTTTATACATGTGATTGATTTTTATAATATAATTAATATTTTTTTAATTTTCTTACACAGGGTGTCGCAGAAAAATTAATGACTGAGTTGTTAAAAATAAATATCCAAACAGATTTAAGAATTCAGCTCGTTACTATGGAAATATGCAATTTAACACCTTCTAAATTTAACAAATTTTTACAAGTTTAATAGAGGCAAAATCAGTCGTATCTTAGCAAGTACTAGCGAGTACTACCCTCTGAGAAAATTAAGGACGGATGGACGGGGCTAGTATTTGCTAACATAAGTCTTATTTTGGCAAATAATATATCCTGTGAGAAAATAGGGGGCGGGTGGGCGGGCCTAGTATTTGTTAAGATAAAACTGATTTTGCCTCTATTCATCTTGTAAAAACTTGTGAAATTTTAAATTAAAAAAAAAATACGCTACACGTACCAATTTTCTGCTCAGTTTTTTCAAGAACAAAACACCATGGGTCCTGGAATTATTTTTAATTTCTAAAATTTTTCTCAAATTTTTTTCATATATTTTCTAAGTAGAAACAGCAAAGATTTCTCTGATTCTTTCAAGTCTTTTCAACATAATGTGGCAGAGGACCTCATTTTTGTTTATTTTCCAAAAACAAAGCGCAACAAAATTCCCTCAAATTATTTCAAGAACAAAACATTGGACCCCACAAGAGTCTTCTAAATTGTTTACAATAATAACACAAAACACCATTGATCCCCAAAATTCTTGTAATCTCTTAAAAAAAAACTCCATGGACCCCAAGATTTTTTTCTATTCTTAAAAAAATGCACTATAGCTACCAACATTCTGTCCAAATTTTTTGAAAAACTAAGCACCATGGCCCCATAATTTTTTTAATGTTATGAACTCCTATATTTTTGTAATATATTATGTAATAGTCCCAAAATTATTTCAAATATTCTCAGAATAAAAACAGCAGAGGTCCCCACAAATTTTTCTTTCGAAAAGAAAATACCCAATAAAAATTATTTCATATTCGTTCTAAAGCTACACACCAGAATTTATTGTAACCTCTTTCAAAAACAAAATACCATGCGTCCTATTTTTTTTTTCAATAATACACTAGGGTTCTAATATTTTTTCATATATTTTAAAAATAGTGAAGGCGGTTTCCAATTGATATTAAAAAAATATAATAATAGCAGGGTTCCCCAATTTTTTTTCAAATTCATTCAAATTCAGCGGTCCCTAAATTTGTTGTAATCTTTTCCAAAACAAAACACAAAAGGCCCCATCATTTTTTTTTATTTTTTAGTTATTTCAAAACAATAGTAGAGTAGGGTCCCGAGAATCTTTTATATATTTTCAAAACAATAACAATAAATCCCCAAAATTTTTTCAAATTCTTTTAAGGAACAAAACTATTCAAATTCTTTCCAACACAAGACAGAGTCCCCAAGAGTCTTCCAAATTCAAACAATGGAACATTAGGAACGCCAAACTTTTTCCAGGGACCCACAAGTTTTTTTATATTCTTAAAAAATACACTCGAGGTACATTTTTTTCAAACAATAATACACTAGAATCTCCAGATTCTTTCAAAATATATTTTCAAAATAAAAATAGCGGGAGTTCCCAAGATTCTTTCAAATATTTCCAAAATAATAACAGCAGAGATCCCCAAAATTTTTTGAAATAATAGAACATTTTTCAAAATAAAAACACCTGGAAGTCCCAAGATATTTTTAAATTCTTAAAAAAAGTCTTTTTTTTTAATAATACACAAGGGTCCAAAGATTTTTGAAATATAGTTTGAAAATAATAAATAGACTCTTTCAAATTTTTTTCAAAAACCAAATATCTGATGTCCCAAAATTTTTTAACGAAACATTAGGGATCCCCAGATTCCTCTATTTTTTTTTTTTTTTAATAAAACGACTAGGATCTCAATATTTTCTTAAATTCTTAAAAAAATAGCTTGCTTGGTGATTCCAAAATTCGTTCGAATTTTTTAGAAATCAGGGTGACCATAATTTTTTCAAAAATTTTATAATTGCTGGTAATATTTCCAAAATAATAGCAGCAGATTCCCATTTTTTTTTCACAGTATTTTAAATCTTTTTGTTAAAAGAAGTAGAAACAGCAGAGGTTTGAAATATTTCTAAAATAATAGAAGCACAAGTTTCAAATTTTTTCAAGAAAGAAACCTCAAAGGCTTCCAAGGTTATTTTCGTTCAAAGAAGTTTCAAAAGTTATTTTATATTGGTTCCAAAATTCTTAAAAATTGTTTGAAAAAGAAACAGTAGACACAAAAATCTTTCAGATTTTTTTTAAAACACAACCAAAGAAAAGAAAAAGAAAACATCAGAGCTCCACAGTCTTTCAAATTCGTTCTAAAATAAAACACCATGAGCCCCATCATTCCCTTTTTTTTTAATAGAACATTAGGAATCCCAAGACAGTTACATTTAAAAAAAAACACCAGAGGCTTCATTGTTCTTTGCAAATTTTAAAATAAAAAAAATATATACTAGATTCCTTCATTTATTTTCAAAACATAAACAGCAAAGGTTCCGAAAATGTTTTCAATTTCTTTCAAAAGATCCCAAAAATTCTTACAAATTCTAAAACAATACACCAGCGGCCTCTAAAATTCTTACAATCTCTTAAAAAAAAAACACACAAAACACTATGATCCTTATAATTCCTTTGTTTTTCAAAAAATAGAACATTGGGAAACCTAAGATTTTTTTTTCCAAAATAAAAACACCAGGGTGTCCGAAGAGTCCTATAAATTCTTTAAAAATACGGTAGATATGCCAATATTTTTTAGAATTTTTTTAGAAACTAAACATTGGGGGTTCCAAATTTGTTAATTTTTGTCAAAAGATAATACGCAAAGGTTCCAAGAATTTTTCAAATAAATATTTTCAAAATAAAAATCCCAAAGATCCCAAAAGTTGTTCAAATTCTTTCCAAAACAAGACACGAGGG